AAAAATTAAGTTTCTCCAATCTTCTCAAAACTCTGGATTCTGATAGAGGGCTGGTGAGACTTTGACCTGAGTGCAAAAAAATGGAGGCTCTAGACCTTTCAGAGCTGAGATATGGAAATTCAAAAATTTCGACCCGAAAAAAAAACGACAGTTGTTACCCCTTTCGTTTTTTCAAAAGTTTTTTGGCGAAAAATTAAGTTTCTCCAATCTTCTCAAAACTCTGGATTCTGATAGAGGGCTGTGAGACTTTGACCTGAGTGCAAAAATGGAGGCTCTAGACCTTCCAGAGCTGAGATATGGAAATTCAAAATTTCGACCCGAAAAAAAAACGACAGTGTTACTTACCCTTTCGTTTTTTTCAGTTTTGGGCGAAAAATTAAGTTTCTCCAATCTTCTCAAAACTCTGGATTCTGATAGAGGGCTGTGAGACTTTGACCTGAGTGCAAAAATGGAGGCTCTAGACCCTTCCAGAGCTGAGATATGGAAATTAAAAATTTCGACCCGAAAAAAAAACGACAGTGTTACCCTTTCGTTTTTTTCAGTTTTTGGGCGAAAAATTAAGTTTCTCCAATCTTCTCAAAACTCTGGATTCTGATAGAGGGCTGTGAGACTTTGACCTGAGTGCAAAAATGGAGGCTCTAGACCTTTCCAGAGCTGAGATATGGAAATTCAAAATTTCGACCCGAAAAAAAAACGACAGTGTTACCCCTTTCGTTTTTTTCAGTTTTCGGGCGAAAAATTAAGTTTCTCCAATCTTCTCAAAACTCTGGATTCTGATAGAGGGCTGTGAGACTTTGACCTGAGTGAAAAAATGGAGGCTCTAGACCCTTCCAGAGCTGAGATATGGAAATTAAAAATTTCGACCCGAAAAAAAAAACGACAGTGTTACCCCTTTCGTTTTTTTTCGGGCGAAAAATTAAATTTCTCCAATCTTCTCAAAACTCAGGATTCTGATAGAGGGCCACCAGACTTTGACCTGAGTGCAAAAATGGAGGCTCTAGACCCTTCCAGAGCTGAGATATGGAATTCAAAATTTCGACCCGAAAAAAAAAACGACAGTGTTACCCCTTTCGTTTTTTTCAGTTTTTGGGCGAAAAATTAAGTTCTCCAATCTTCTCAAAACTCTGGATTCTGATAGAGGGCTGTGAGACTTTGACCTGAGTGCAAAAATGGAGGCTCTAGACCCTTCCAGAGCTGAGATATGGAAATTCAAAATTTCGACCCAAAAAAAAAACCGACGGTGTTACCCCTTTCGTATTTTTTCAGTTTTCGGGCGAAAAATTAAGTTTCTCCAATCTTCTCAAAACTCTGGATTCTGATAGAGGGCTGTGAGACTTTGACCTGAGTGCAGAAATGGAGGCTCTAGACCTTTCCAGAGCTGAGATATGGAAATTCAAAATTTCGACCCGAAAAAAAAAACGACAGTGTTACCCCTTTCGTTTTTTTCAGTTTTCGGGCGAAAAATTAAGTTTCTCCAATCTTCTCAAAACTCTGGATTCTGATAGAGGGCTGTGAGACTTTGACCTGAGTGCAAAAATGGAGGCTCTAGACCTTTCCAGAGCTGAGATATGGAAATTCAAAATTTCGACCCGAAAAAAAAACGACAGTGTTACCCCTTTCGTTTTTTTCAGTTTTTGGGCGAAAAATTAAGTTTCTCCAATCTTCTCAAAACTCAGGATTCTAATAGAGGGCCACCAGACTTTGACCTGACTGCAAAAATGGAGGCTCTAGACCTTTCCAGAGCTGAGATATGGAAATTCAAAATTTCGACCCGAAAAAAAAACGACAGTGTTACCCCTTTCGTTTTTTTCAGTTTTTGGGCGAAAAATTAAGTTTCTCCAATCTTCTCAAAACTCTGGATTCTGATAGAGGGCTGTGAGACTTTGACCTGAGTGCAAAAATGGAGGCTCTAGACCTTTCCAGAGCTGAGATATGGAAATTCAAAATTTCGACCCGAAAAAAAAAACGACAGTGTTACCCCTTTCGTTTTTTCAGTTTTTGGGCGAAAAATTAAGTTTCTCCAATCTTCTCAAAACTCTGGATTCTGATAGAGGGCTGTGAGACTTTGACCTGAGTGCAAAAATGGAGGCTCTAGACCTTTCCAGAGCTGAGATATGGAAATTCAAAATTTCGACCCGAAAAAAAAACGACAGTGTTACTTACCCCTTTCGTTTTTTTCAGTTTTTGGGCGAAAAATTAAGTTTCTCCAATCTTCTCAAAACTCTGGATTCTGATAGAGGGCTGTGAGACTTTGACCTGAGTGCAAAAATGGAGGCTCTAGACCTTTCCAGAGCTGAGATATGGAAATTAAAAATTTCGACCCGAAAAAAAAACGACAGTGTTACCCCTTTCGTTTTTTTCAGTTTTTGGGCGAAAAATTAAGTTTCTCCAATCTTCTCAAAACTCTGGATTCTGATAGAGGGCTGTGAGACTTTGACCTGAGTGCAAAAATGGAGGCTCTAGACCTTTCCAGAGCTGAGATATGGAAATTCAAAATTTCGACCCGAAAAAAAAACCGACAGTGTTACCCCTTTCGTTTTTTTCAGTTTTCGGGCGAAAAATTAAGTTTCTCCAATCTTCTCAAAACTCTGGATTCTGATAGAGGGCTGTGAGACTTTGACCTGAGTGCAAAAATGGAGGCTCTAAACCCTTCCAGAGCTGAGATATTGAAACTCAAAATTTCGACCCGAAAAAAAAAAACGACAGTGTTACCCCTTTCGTTTTTTTTAGTTTTCGGGCAAAAAATTAAGTTTCTCCAATCTTCTCAAAACTCTGGATTCTGATAGAGGGCCACGAGACTCTGACCTGAGTGCAAAAATGGAGGCTCTAGACCCTTCCAGAGCTGAGATATCGAAACTCAAAATTTCGACCCGAAAAAAAAAACGACAGTGTTACCCCTTTCGTTTTTTTTTCATTTTCGGGCAAAAAATTACGTTTCTCCAAACTTCTCAAAACTCTGGATTCTGATAGAGGGCCACGAGACTTTGACCTGAGTGCAAAAATGGAGGCTCTAGACCCTTCCAGAGCTGAGATATCGAAACTCAAAATTTCGACCCGAAAAAAAACGACAGTGTTACCCCTTTCGTTTTTTTTCCGTTTTCGGGCAAAAAATTAAGTTTCTCCAATCTTCTCAAAACTCTGGATTATGATAGAGGGCCGTGAGACTTTGACTTAAGTGCAAAAATGGAGGCTCTAGACCCTTCCAGAGCTGATATCAAAATTCAAAATTTCGACCCGAAAAAAAAACGACAGTGGAACCCCTTTCGTTTTTTTTTCCGTTTTTGTCAGTTTTGTAGCTTGAAGTCAGTCCCCATTCACTTCTATTGAATTAAAAAAATAGAACTGTCCGTTTAAGATACCAGCCCAAATCTCGCTCTTCTGTGCCTGTGCTAATTTGTGTAAATCGAGAGATTTCATAAAACAAGCTTTAATTTACTTTGATTCAGTGCCAAGTGATTAACATGTTTGTTCTTGCACTCTTTTTGTCTTGTTCCAGGATGACCTCCTCTTATCTCACCTGTTGTTGGCCTCTGAGAGCCACTCTGGAGGTAGAAAGAGCAAAGGAAGATCCCATCTCAGATTACATCAGGCCACACACACACTCACGCACCAAGAACGTGTGTTTCACCGTCTTTCTCCAGCAGTGTGTGACCACCACGTCAACAGCGGCCTAAAGAGACTCTATTAATATCTAAGCAGAACCACATAAGACGAAAGATTCTCTCTTTTGTAAAGGAATCACTAGACCTTTAGTTTTGTACCCCGGCACTGACTACCTGTTCAGGTGGGTTGAAGTCAAGGTTTGTCTGCAGGTATTAGTTGCGGTCGACCTGAATGGTTTGCAGACTCTTTTGCAGTACATTCCAGTTCCATAGATCAAACTGCGCATGTGTGTGTGTGTGTGTGTGTGTGTGTGATCTCCAGTGTGGTGAATTGTAGATATTGTATTATAGGAAATAGGAGGACAATATTTTTTATAATGTAGATACCCATCCTGTGCCTTCACTCTTGCTTTTTGCATTGATGTTTGGTGAACTTTAAAAAAACAAAAACAAATGAATTTTGTGGCTTGTCAAATTTGTAAATAAAACTCTACAACATTTGCTTGAGTGTTTTAATGAAAATATAATGGCATGCAAAAATACCTGAAAACAATGCAATGATTACAAGAAAAGTATACAAAGTCTAATATACAAAGCACTGTATTTTTAGATATACGAGGCCTGAGTAAATTCACATGATTCTTTTTGAGAACTATATTAATCCTCTTTTATATCACAAATGAATAGGTGATTCATTTGTGATACACACAAACACAGACATTTGCCTGCCAAATCCAGTAACGGATTTAGATATTAACATATTAAATAATCACTTTTTATTCAAATTATTATAATTAAATGTAGTACCACGAGTACCATGATTGCATGATATGTAAATACTTAACAAATTACATTTTATTCTGCATTTCTTGCAAAAAAAAAAAAAGACAGGTTTTGTGAAATTCACTAACATATATCCCACAATGCACAGTTGTGAAATCATTCAGTTTTGTTTCATGAATGTCATCCCTTCTCAATACATTAAACCTGATTGTTCAGCCAGTAGTAAAGACTGATTACAGTAGGGAAGATAAAGAAGCACGAAACATCCCTCAGCCCTCCGAGTCCATGATGAAGGTTTCAAAGTCAGGGTCCAGATCCGACACGAGGGCGTTGACAAAGTCCTCGATGGAGGGTCTTTTCTGCAACATGCCTGGACATGAAACAAGAGGGGCAAATTCCAGTTATGTACACTCAGTATTTAGCAGCACGGTCGTCCTGCATTAATGACTTGTTTAGGTAAATGTTTACCATGCACTGTGCATTGATGTTAATGTCAACTTCAAAGAAGCACTGTAAATTCGAGCAGCATTTACTACGGCAGAAAAGCGGTAATTAAAAGGGCAGAGGTATTATCTTCCCTGTGCTACATCATGACAATATCGTCTTCCACAGGTTGACACACTTCTGCCCTGCTCAGTGAACAGTGCAGCCAATAACAGTGAGCCGTCCTGCTAAACTGTGCACACTCGATTTACAATTCCTCTCTGCTGGCGCTTTGAAGTCTGCTCATTTCCCCTTGTAGAGCTGCCAATGTAAATAGGCCCTCCTCCCTTCCCCCTCTTTCCTGCACAGGTCACCTCTAAAACACACACACACACACACCAAGTCCACACTGCAAAAGGCTGCACTAAAATCTCAAGCAACTCTAACCCTCAAACCCTGTATTGTACATCTTTCACAATGAATAATTAGTACTGTAAATATTGTGATTCTGTACAAAATTAAGAGTTGATAATCTGAAATCTGGTTACAATCACTATGGCTTTATTTGATTTTCTTCAGACTTATACACTGGGTACGGAGCTCCTACGGAAACATGATGATGCAAAAAATTTGAGATGGGAAGACAAATTATATTTTAATGTTTTTGCATTCGCTCACAAAATTTGTGTTCTATTGTGTTCCACCGAGAAATTCTGCATTCTCTCGCAATGGTATTGAGTTCCCTAAGAACATTTGGGAAAAGTGTTCTTTTGCAAAAGTGTTTCATTTCCCTAAAAACTGCATTCTCAACAAAACATCTGCATTCCACTGAGAAACTTAGTGTTCTCTTCAAAACATTTGTGTTCCACTGAGAAACTTAGTGTTCTCTTCAAAACATTTGTGTTCCACTGAGAAACTTAGTGTTCTCTTCAAAACATTTGTGTTCCACTGAGAAAACTTAGTGTTCTCTTCAAAACATTTGTGTTCCACTGAGAAACTTAGTGTTCTCTTTAAAACATTTGTGTTCCACTGAGAAATTTAGTGTTCTCTTCAAAACATTTGTGTTCCACAGAGAAACTTAGTGTTCTCTTTAAAACATTTGTGTTCCACTGAGAAACTTAGCGTTCTCTTTAAAACTTGTGTTCCACCGAGAAACTTTGTGTTCTCTTCAAAACATTTGTGTTCCACTGAGAAACTTAGCGTTCTCTTTAAAACTTGTGTTCCACCGAGAAACTTAGTGTTCTCTTTAAAACATTTGTTCCACTGAGAAATTTAGTGTTCTCTTTAAAACATTTGTTCCACCAAGAAACTTAGTGTTCTCTTTAAAACATTTGTGTTCCTCCGAGAAACTTTAAGTTTCCTGGTGGATCAAATCTTTTAAAGAGAACACTAAGTTTCTCGGTGGAACAAAAGTTTTAAAGAGAACACTAAGTTTCTCAGTGGAACACAAATGTTTTGAAGAGAACGCTAAGTTTCTCAGTGGAACACAAATGTTTTGAAGAGAACACTAAGTTTCTTGGTGGAACAAATGTTTTAAGGAGAACACTAAATTTCTCAGTGGAACAAATGTTTTAAAGAGAACACTAAGTTTCTCGGTGGAACACAAATGTTTTGAAGAGAACACAAAGTTTCTTGGTGGAACAAATGTTTTGAAGAGAACACTAAGTTTCTTGGTGGAACAAATGTTTTGAAGAGAACACTAAGTTTCTCAGTGTAACACAAGTCTTAAAGAGAGTTTCTAAGTTTCTCGGTGGAACAAATGTTTATCAAGTTTCTCGGTGGAACAAATGTTTTGAAGAGAACACTAAGTTTCTCAGTGGAACACAATTGTTTTAAAGAGAACACTAAGTTTATCGGTGGAACACAAATTTTTTAATGAGAACACTAAGTTTCTCGGTGGAACAAATGTTTACCAAGTTTCTCGGTGGAACAAATGTTTTGAAGAGAACACTAAGTTTCTCGGTGGAACACAAATGTTTTAAGGAGAACACTAAGTTTCTCGGTGGAACAAATGTTTACCAAGTTTCTCGGTTGAACAAATGTTTTAAAGAGAACACTAAATTTCTCAGTGGAACACAAATGTTTTAAAGAGAACACTAAGTTTCCCGTGGAACACAAATGTTTTGGAGAGAACACTAAGTTTCTCAGTGGAACACAAATGTTTTGAAGAGAACACTAAGTTTCTCAGTGGAACACAAATGTTTTGAAGAGAACACTAAGTTTCTCAGTGGAACACAAATGTTTTGAAGAGAACACTACGTTTCTCAGTGGAACACAAATGTTTTGAAGAGAACACTAAGTTTCTCAGTGGAACACAAATGTTTTGAAGAGAACACTAAGTTTCTCAGTGGAACACAAATGTTTTAAAGAGAACACTAAGTTTCTCAGTGGAACCCAATTGTTTTAAAGAGAACACTAAGTTTATTAGTGGAACACAAATGTTTTAAAGAGAAAACTAAGTTTCTCGGTGGAACAAATGTTTTGAAGAGAACACTAAGTTTCTCGTAGGAACACAAATGTTTTAAAGAGAACACTAAGTTTCTCGGTGGAACAAATGTTTACTATGTTTCTCGGTGGAACAAATGTTTTGAAGAGAACACTAAGTTTCTCGGTGGAACAAATGTTTTGAAGAGAACACTAAGATTCTCGGAGGAACACAAATGTTTTAAAGAGAACACCAAGTTTCTCGGTGGAACAAATGTTTACTAAGTTTCTCGGTGGAACAAATGTTTACTAAGTTTCTCGGTGGAACAAATGTTTTGAAGAGAACTAAGTTTCTCAGTGGAATCAAAAATGTTTTAAAGAGAACACAAAGTTTCTCGGAGGAACAAATGTTTTGAAGAGAACACTAAGTTTTTCGGTGGAACACAAATGTTCTCGGTAGAACATTTGTGTTCTACCGAGAAACTTAGTGTTCTCTTCAAAACATATGTGTTCCACCAAAAACTTTGTGTTCTCTTCAAAACATTTGCATTCCATTGAGAAATGTTGCGCAATGTTCCACAAGAAAAACATTTGGTTCTCTCACAAAACTGTTGCGTTCCCCCAAGAAACTGCATTCATTCCAGTTTTGAAATATATATATTTTTTCCCCAACCTCATTTTATTTCCATGACAAACCGTTTGTGAACTTTTCCTTCTTTTATTTATATTTTGTTCATCACCATGTCCCCTTTGGAGATTCCATAGACCTGCGATCTGGATTTGGTGGATGTTTAAGCACAAGACCTCACCTTGGGGTTCTAAGCATGCGTCAAAACCGCCGCCATCTTGGAACAGGGGTCTTGTCATAGGAAGTAGCTAGGTAACGCTGCTATCTCTGCCTTTACTTCGAATTCATTGATGGTGGTGGACTTTTGTGCAGCGTATGATGTTCACGGATGAAATCTGAACTAGGAAGAATGTTTTTGTAAAAAAATAAAAAAATACATGTCTGACCGTTGGAACAAACCAAAAAAACAAGAAAAATCGCATTCATGATGATTTATGGTGATTTTATTTCTGTTAGACCTGTGTCCAATGCATTAAAGTGGAGGGGCTCCCCTGTTTCAAGATGGCGGCTCTATTGACGCATTCGTTCCAATGAACTGCCGTAGCCAAGGTGAGGTCTAGTGTATATGTCTATGATGACAGATAAAGAGAGACGGGTACTACTCCTAACTGTTGTTTCAAGCTGACTGCTGCAGCCACAGATGCTGTTCAGAGAGCTAAAGATGGAACAGACTACTTCTTTAATCTCTGAATGGATCACACTAGGACTAGACGTCTCCAGCTTCAATGCCACTTTCTATAATGACGTTCATTTCCTGAGTTCACTCTAGAGGGGATTCAGACTACAAGCCTATCCAGAATCACATTCTTTTTCCATTTCAAAAGCAAAAATATACAAAGTAAGACCCATATCCAGTGAGAATAAAGATAAATGTGAAGGAATGAGTTTCATATTCCTGATGTTAAAGAGTTGGGCTATATTATTTTTTTGATTTTTTTTTGTGAGCTCTTAAATTATCCAATCAAAATAAATTAGAGCAATATAAATGTGTGAATGTTTGTGCACAATATTATTACTTCCAAGGCCTTATAAAGCTATTTAATCTGTATAAAAAAGATTGTTTCAACATTTCTTCAGCTTAGTTATTGTGTGTGTGTGTGTGTGTGTGTTTGTATCTATATATAAAACATATGGCAGTAAGTTATTTTTTAATGAATACTTTTATTCCGCATGGATTCATTAACTTGATCAAAAGTGACAGTAAGACATTAATAATGTTACAAAATAATTCTATTTCAAATAA